AACTCACACATCTCTTGTCCATGCTCCAGAATATCATTTGGGAGAGAAGGGGAGTGATTATAGGACACTGCCAAAAACAGAGATTTTCTAAAGGGATTATTCAGCGAGCTGAAATAAAGCAGTCAGTAAGCTTGAAAGTGAGATAGTGAGACTTAACATTATTTAGCTTCTAGAAGAAATAAATCTGTACCTTCTTCCATGGAGCATGTATTCCAAACTTATTTTGTATTTCATGTTCAGCCCCAGAAGTTATCCACCCTGATCAGAATGAGAAAGGTGTATTTAGTGCTGAAAAATGATTTAATTATGGACATTGGACCTTAGTCAGCCCTATGCAGTCAGGATACAGAGTTGGGAAATAAATTAATATTTATATATAAATTGAACAGATGATGACTGACTATTCTTGAACTACATCGAATCTGAGACTAAGTAATTGGAGCCATGAAACAATCTGAAGTGTATTATGGGGCTAAACTCAATGATATGGTTGCAGTTACTGTCCACTGGGAAGAACTTTGCCTTCATTTTTTTTCAGTTGTTAATGTCCCAATATTATAGAGTTTCTAAGTACTGGAAAACTATAGCTGTATAGTTCCACCATGCCTTTTATTATAACTCCTTATTTGTTTCTAATATTTTTAAAGAATAGCTCCTCTGAGGTTGACATTTTGCAGACTTGCACTCTAGCTAGAGATTCAATATTTTAGAAAGTTTCAGGTCACTTCATTCAGCCCCTTGTGAATTCTTGTCTTGAGGAACAAACATACTCTTACTCTTTACAAGATGGGCCAAGACCCTATTCTGTCACATGACTTTTAGGATCCTGAAATCATGAGCAGTGAGTGTTGGGAGTCTCCTATTGGACTGGAAGAGGCCTGTGTGCCTTTAGGGTAGACTAGGGTCCACACCGGGAGGTGCACCAGACTGCCTAATGAGAGGAAAGGAGAGCTAAAGGGTGGAAGAGGTTCATCTCCTGAGCCTAGACACATATATTTCTGCGATGAGCCATTAGTAGGCAGATTAGGACGTGGGGTTATAGGATCCTCCCAATCAAATACTCTAATAGACCCTAGTGATGCCCGAAGGAGCCATATTGAGCCACTGCAATATCCCCAGCCCTGTGCCTTAAACTTCACAAATTAGGCCCCAATACCCTGAGACTGTCTTAAAAATAATGAGATTTGAAGAGAAGGTGGCTTGGAGCAGCTTCTTATTTATCTCCTCTGCCACTGCTGGTGGCGTTCATGGTTTCATGCTATATTTTGTGATGATGAAAGCTAAAATGCTAGAAAATGAAAGCTGAGGTTCCCTTGGGCTTTCCAGACCTGGGGCTTGCAGGAACATCACAAGATGCTCAACAGGATGGTGAGTGAAGGCTCCAGGAGAGCTACACTGGTTTATGCCTGATGACAATCTGGCCCATATTTTGCCTAAAAGGCCTGGATTGTCTCAGGGGATGCCTGGCCTCAATAATCTCAACGGCCCTGTTTCCGCAGCGCTGCGTGTTTACTAGCCCGTCGGTAACGGTGCAGGCCCTGCCGTGCTGAACTCCAGAGAGTGCTCTAGACTGTGGTTCTGAGTAAAAAAAGAGGCTGCTGTGGAAGTACTGTACTGAGCACCCGGCCAGGGCTTGACAAACAATAAATAGCAATGAGAAAGTAGCCAGTCACTGCTGTTGAGCTGGGAAGGTTCCCACCACCACTGTTTTTAAGAGACTAGAAATGGCAAATGCTGCGGCATAACAGGAAACAGCGTGGGAGTCCACGCAGGAGTCCTCTGCGTCGGCTGCAAGGGAACATGCCTTAACAGCGACTGATATTGGTTTAAGCAATGAGGCAAACTCATTGTAGGACAAACGATGCTGATAGAATAATTGAGGGAACTGGGTCAGATTCATCCCCTCTGTGACTCCAGTCATTTTGGTGGAGCTATGCAAGGGAGGAAGTTGGCTTCTGCCTAAAGACTCACACATGCAATTCCTGTTGACCTTGATGAGAGATGTGCATGTCTCTCCCAGGGGAGCAAGTGACCCCATAACAAGAGGACGCGCTGGAAAATAACATCCAGAGAGCTGTGAGCGAAGCCTAGGGAGCAAGCAAGGCAAACACTACAACAGTTCACAATTTTTTCGAGAGTTCGACATTGACAGGGCAGCAGCAAGGTCAGCTTGTCACTGGCATCCAGGGCATTTCTTAAGACTTCAGGTCTGAACAGGCAGAAAGAGGAGGATAGATGTTGTCCTGGTCCCCCTCTCACTTGGAGGGGGCCAGGTCAAGGCCAAGCCCTGTGTCCAGTCTCCCCAGTAGCTCAAAAAATCGAAAGCTTTATCATACCCGTTCTATGCTATTTCGTCCACAAGCTGGGCTTGGAGTGAGCTCACTGCAGTGGAGGATTGACCCCTCGGCATTTACAGGATTAAAATATGCACCTTTTATCCTGAATTACGCTAATTTATTACCCCCAAGTAATCTAAGAATTAATTTATCTCATTGCTCTGCAAACATTGAACATGACAGTCAGTAGCATATTGGGGGGTAGGCACCAGGGCACCAGTCCTGGGTGCTCACTTCCAGAGGGCATGAGAACAGCAGTCACCGCAGCCAGCCCAGCCCCTGCCCAGGCACGTGGTCCCTTGGGGAGGGCAGATTAGAGCAGCCCCTAGGTTGCCTTCATCTGCAATGTGGGTGAGGCAATTAGTCAGTGAGTCCTGAGCTCTGTTCCTTCTCTGCTGCAGCAAAGAGTCAGGACCACTGTCTACCAAGACTTCTTGTTCCTCACGCTTTTATAAAGCAGACCATAAAATAACCGGATCCAACTTTCCCATCACACACCTTGCGATCTCACTTATGCATCTGCATCAAGGACAGAACAGAGGGACCCCTCAGAGACCTTGTGAAGAAGCCATCAATCAGACACAGTCATCCAGAGAATTAAGGCACTAACCTGTCACCTTGCAGACGTCAATCCCAATTTGACACAGGGGGTGGATAATGCTCTATGTTCAGTAGTTTCATCTTCCTCTCTCGTGGACCTTTGTTCCCATCATAAAGGGCACCATGCTACGTGGTAGTCTGCTTTAAAGACACCTCCAAACTAGAGCTATTACAGGTCAGGATTCAAATGTATTTGGCTGAGCTGAATAACAGGGAAGCTTCCTCACTCAAAAGACAACTACAGCACCCACATGCAAACTACCTGGGCTTCAGCAATGCCTCCCTTTCACAGGCTGTGGGCTTAAACACCCTTTTCAGTCCATTTTATTTTTTAAAAAATCATGCTTTTTTGAAACATAAGCCGTGCTCTGCTCTCTTCATGCCCTTTTTAACAGGCAGCAGGGTCATAGGTGTCTCTCCTTCCCGTGGTGTAGGTCACTTCACTTACAGAGGGGATGAGAACAGCAGTCACCCCAGCCAGCCCAGCCCCGACCCAGGCATGTGGTCCCTTGCAGATGGCAGATTAGAGCAGCCCACCAGCTCTGAATGACACAAGTGACATGTAAAACCTATCTTGGAAGCTGATTCAGTCACCACTGACTTACTCCCACCTGATAATTACAGGTCACATCCTGAGACCCTCATGGGGGTTTTACTCATTTGGTAATGACGCCAATCTCACCCCCAACCTGGACTTGAATGGCTGTTTTGTGCATGTTAAGGACCCAAACTAGACTAAGGTCTTTAGTATTTAGCTCCACAGTAATTCTCAGTTTCATCATTTCCCCCGCAAGGAAATCCAGAATCTAAGCATTAGCATTACTGGGGCTTTGGAAAGAACAAAAAGAAGCGGTACTTATTCCATTCACAAGACTGGAGAGTATACACAGAAGGGATGGAGGGGGTTGGAGGGATGGAGGGGGTTCAACCAGCAACCAGTGGTTCTGGTTGAACCACTCATTCATTCAGATAGCATTTTGCATCAGAAAACCATTTGTTCCTCTGAGTGGTTCTTTCCCCCCACAGAGCACTGTTCTCCCCATCTTTTTTCACAAGAGCCTGACTTATTGCTTGGACTGATTATTTTGTGTAAAGCTAATTATTTATGATTTGTTCTCAAGACCCCTGACTTATGAGTCATCCCTACATTGATCAATGGACCTGTCCAGGAAATGCTTTCATGCCTGAGTAAAGTTACTTGCAGATGCAAGTGTTTGCAGAACCAGATGTCTTCATCATTTAAAAACTAAAACATGCCAATATTATCACAAAAATTTACTATAACCACTATAGCCACCATTCCAACTTAAGCTAACACCCGGTACGTTGGGTGGGGGTAAAGGATACCTCCCAGAGCCACTACAAACCTTCTGCAAAGCGCCTTTCCTCAACCTGCCTCGCTAATAAAATGAGTGCATCCAACACTAAATAACTGGTGCTTTGTTTTAAAATCCAAATGTAATTTCCTCTCAGAGGAGAGGAGAGAAGGAAAGAACAACATGTGGTGGACGTTCGTCACGCTGTTCCAAGTAGCATGGATGGTACCATGATATGACAGGAGAGGGCATAACAGAAAAACCTGAACAGATGGGAATGGGAGTTTGGGTCAGTTAAGACTAAAGGAAGGGGCCCAACAAGAGAACAAGATAGGCTGCAAAGGCAGAATCACGCTGTCATTGTAGTAGTCCTACTGAGAGATGTCTAAGGCCCGTCCAGTCTTACCTCATGCCTTGCACAGACCATACAACTCCAACCAATGACTTCTGCGTCAATCCTAGTAACTCATTAACCCTTGGGGCTAAGCTAAAGTGGATCTTTTAGAAACACCGTCTCTTGATTTTAAGTGATGTGAAAACCATTGTATCTCCTGGGGAGCTCTTCCATGGGTTCATTTCCCCACGCTGCTAAAAAAACCCAACAACAACAAAAAACCCTTGAATTTTTCAAGCTTCAGCCTTTCTACTGAAAAGCCATCATAGGGGGATCTTACACATCTCCCGTCTTCACAGCTAATTTTGGGGGGGAAAAAAGTGTTATTTAGACAATGTAAATTTCTGCATTTACCTTTTTGCTTATTTAAAAACCGCAGCTGGTGTGAAGCTAAGGGACTTCTTTTCTCAGAGTCCTTGGAAGACAGTTTACTTTGGTTAACAACCGTTTCTTCGATTGGTTTCTTCAGAATTATTCTTTCTTTTAGTTCTTCAGTACTGACGGCAGAGGCGGGCGGCTCAACACTTACTTTGGGCGCAACAAAAGAGCATTTCAGATAGGACGCGGACTCTGCTAGGTTTTCCCTGTTCATCCTACTCTCTGTTGTGTTACTTACTTCATAGTCTGAAGCATCGGCTCGGGAACCGTTCTCTTCCTGGATTATGTCCATAATTATTGGTTTCATCAGAGGAGAATCTTGCTCCCTCTTTGGACTTTCTTCAGAGGCCGAAGAGGCATCGCATGACTCGATGATCAGTTCACTGTCGAGCTCGGCTTCGCGCTCTTCCCTCAGGATGCTGTACTGTATGGAAGGGGAGGCAGGCGATGGAGGGGGCCCGCCAATATGACTGAAGGTCATGTAGTTGGAGTGCAGCACCTCCTCCGCGGCCAGTGGGTCTTCGGAGACAAGTTCAATCTCCGAGTCTCCGGATTCAGCGCTGCTGGCTTCGTTGTCTGGGGGCGCTGAAGCAGCCGGGCGTCCAGGTTTGGCTTTCTGATCTGTTTTTTCTGCATACACACCCTGTGATCGCTGGGCTTCAGCAGCTTCAAAGGTAAAGCCCTTTGCTTCTTTAATGGCACTGATGAGCTCATCCTCGGAGAGGCTGCATTTCCCTTGAGATTCGGAGCCAGACGGTTCTGTCATCCCGCGTGAAGAAAAACAGAAAGACAGACAGAAAGTTATTAACACAGCTGACTTCGGAGTGCTTAGGCAACAGACACAATAGATGTAAAGCAGCCAGGCAGAATAAGAATAATACCGAGTTTCCTTATGCCTTTGCAAAGGAAATAAGCATCATTCTCACTATTTTACTGATGGAAAATGGACACACACAGTAGTAGTGCCTTGTGCAAGGTGCCTCAATAATCGAAGCTTAGCTCTGCTTTTAAAACGGAAACTTCAAGTTCAAAATCAGGCACCTCAATATACATGTGCACGCGCACACACAGAAAGCATTTTAAAATCACTCCTCACAACTTCTACAGAAAAAAATAAAACAGTAGCAATCTCTTAGCAACAGCTATTCATCTTTCGGGGTTTTGTACACAACAGGTACTGTGCTTTTTAAGACAGAAATAGTCTTCTTCCGCTGCACAACACAGTTGGGATTGCATTCCCAGTGTCGTGGATTAGAAAGATGCATCCAACGTGAGCTGTGCATCAAATATGCTGTTCGTGATGCCCGTGGTGGTATTTAAACTATCACCAGAACAACAGCTGAATAAATAAATCAAGCCTTTCATTCAGCTCTTACTGGGACAAACTCGCACTGGAGCCAGCGAGGACTGGTTTAGATCAAGTCTCAATGGCACATAAGCAAAGACCTCATGATTTGGACTGACATAATTTGACCCTTTTAGGTCTATATCTGACATTTTAATTCATCTCCATCTGGATACAAAGGAGCAAATCCACTGACTACAGTGTGGGCTTTGGGTCTGAGGAAATTAGGTCTTTCTGGATCATTCATAAGCATCTATTGTGAGGTTTCCAAGCAGAAGCCAGATACTTCTGGCTGTTTCTTAAAACAGCTATTTATATTTATGTAATAACAAAACTTTCTAAAAGTATCAATTATAAAGGCATGTGCATGTTGTAAGTGAAATCAGTGCTTGACTGCAACCTTCATGCTCTCTCCATGTAGCTTTTTTTGTGCATTTGTCAGAGGTTGTATGCATTGTATCTGATAATCTCCCACTTGCCTGCCTGACCTTCACCACTTCTATTCTGGGCCAGGTACCATGTCCACCTCTGTGTTTGTACAGTACTTATGTACACCAGTGTATTGACCATACAAAGGCTTTGCCTGGTGCCACAATCAGGTACTAATAACAATAAAGTGAATGAAGGATGAAGGGTCATCATGTTCTTTCCACCTTTAACCTAAACCCACTTACCACCTCCCTTTCTCCTAAGCTTCTGCACTCATCTCTTCTGTCCTAAGCCAAGCCCCTCTCCAGCAACCCATCCCTACCCAGCAAAGCAGTTAAGCATGGGCTTAACTTTAAATCACTGGGACTTGAGCGTGCACCTTCAAGTAAGCATATGCAAAACTTCTGCATATGCTTATTTATAAGATGCCTCCCTAAGGCCCCTCATTTTGATCCTTTGACAAATTCATAGACATGGACAGATCTAAGATTTTGAAAAGGAAGGTGCAGATGGTGTGGCACATCATCCCACAATGCATATTTTAACACAATGCATATTTTTCTCCAGTTAAAGAAAAACTAGATGCTTACTAATATGCTAGGAGCAAGCAAAAACAAACAGAAACGAACGGAGTGTGCACTCATTTGCTACCTTATGTATAAAGTTTAAAAAAGCACACTGAACTAGGCAAAAAATAGTCAAAAGACATTGGATCAGTAGTCCTGTAGTCATTATAGTTAAATGTACGTCTCTTCTTCAGATTCAAAAACCAAAATCTAGCCCTCCTGAGTGTCTTGACAGTGCCGCCAATATTTCAGTGTCAGTCATTTCTACACCTGAATTAACATTACCACACCTGAGTTCAGGGGTTTTTTTGGTAGAGCTACAAATAATCTGCAGGATGGTGAAACAGAAGACAGACATTACCAGTAATGCCTAGCAAAGACAGCAAAGTTGCAAAAGAAATGTTAGTTTGAATAGTGGATCCTCAAGACCATTTAAAAGGAGAGAAGGTTGTTAACATCTGTTGAGTGGCAAGAGCTTAGCCTGAATCAGGGAGATGACAATGAGCCATAAAGCCAAGTGACTCTCTCAGCACTGCCTGAAATTTTGAAGTTTGGGTGGAGTAGGTATTAAAGGGGAGTGCAACTGCCCCACTGCCCCTCCCCCCCCCCCCCCGATCCATCCCTGCTCACAGGTATCATTTTACTACCAATAAAAGAATTTAGATAACAGCAGAACTGACCCAACTCCTTTAACATTCGGTTGGTTGATTTTTAAAAAAAAAATTCTCTCTTCACTTCCCGGCTTGTACTGGAAACAAAAGTGCTGAGATATTGCAAGCGAAGCTGTGCTCCCCATCAATTTTCTGTAACCAGCTGGAAGCAGAAACTGCATGTGAAGCAGAGCAAGGGAAAGACATCACAGGATTTTCTACCTGGGCTACTCTTGTGTAGATAAGCAGACAACACTGCATTGTATCAGTGAACTCTTATATTTGATGAAAAAAAATCACAAAGATGCTGAAAATCAATGGAAAATATCCCAGAGAACATGCAATGGATAAAACTTGCTGCATAACAGCAGGCACCGATACTAATTCCCTAGGGCTGCCCTTCATTTTAGAGGGAAAGGAAAATAGTTAATCATTGCAAAGCTATGTAAACTACCCCACCCCACACTGGAGAGTCAATAGGTTCAGACAGACCATTCAGACCCCATGGACTATTTTAGGGTACTCTTCCAAAACAGATTTCAGACCCATGGGAAATTAACCCATCACTAGAAATATAAATCTAGAGTCTGTAGATCTCCCTTTCCAGGAGTGAAAAGGGATCAGAAATCAGGCACATCTCCCCACAGCACTAACTTAACTGGCTTCTCCATCCCTCCCTGCAGCCCCTACACATAGTGTAGTGTAGGGGAAGTAGCCAGAGGCTGTGTGCTACGACACACACAGCTGCTGGCTAGCACCTTGGAGACCCCTGCCAGGTGGAAGATAGATTAGAGCAGCCTTGGGACTGCTCTAATTGTCTCCAGAGCCCAAACTAGGGTAAAAGACCATCAGGATCAAGCACCGCTGCCTTGTTCTGCCCAGCACAAACAAAGCCCAGAATCCAGCCCAATATTTTACTTGTATTTAATTGCACATGATTTAATGCAGCGTTCGCTCAAGACTGGAATACACATTCCTCCTCATCCAAAGCCAAACAGAGGCGCTTTTGTTCTGCAAAGTCCGTGGTACCGTGCACTGGGAAATAAACCATGGGGCCAAACATATTCTTGGAACTGGGCCATGGCTGGGTCAGTGAAGTAGAAATGATTCTTGCCTCCCCACGAGGGCTCTGAGCCTTGCTGCTCTTCACTTCCATCTTCCTCTCTCTTTTACTGGCTATGACAGGATCAGGGCTGCAGGACTGTCCATGATGAATCATCAGGCATCCCCCCACCCCGGTCCCCTGCACCCGGTTCCTCTGCCCATCTCACCGGAGCAGCCTTGTGAAGGGCACAGCATTATCCCTCTGCCAGCCCTGTGCAGGGGCGGGACACACACAACAGGGCATCATTGTTTTTGCAAATGTTGCTTTAAATCAAGAAACCAAAGCCTTATTGCACACTGGTAGGCTGCAGGCACCAGCCCCTGCAAAACTGGTGAGGGAACAACTACATGTTTCAGCAGGGAATTCAGACAGGCTCAGGAAAGCAGGACTGGGTGATCTGTGGATGTCAGTTGTCATCTTGATGGTTCATGGAAATGTTGCATCCCCCACGTTCCCATCCTATCATTACCTGACTTGGACACGCTTCGGTCGCTCTGTCACCCACCCTTTGCGGAGCACCCTGACGCAAAAGAATTGCCGTGGGTTTAGTGCAGGAGTTTTAGCTCCCATGGAAGAAACAGGCACAGTGCCCAGCTCCCCAGGGGCACAGACAACAGGAGAGGGAGCCAGGAAAATAGTGCAGGCAGAGCCAAGGGGCTTCATGGGCAATGTGATCCGACAGCCAGTGCCCTCCTTCTCCCAGGGCCTAATCCACAGGCTGGTTACAAGCAGGTTGCCTTGCCTGCTAGCCTCTGCAGGTGGGCTTTTGCTCCCTGCAGAGCCCCTCAGCCAGTCCCCCCAGGTAACTCAGTCCTTAGGCCACAAACAAACCAACAAATAAACTCAAAAAAACCCTCTTGTCCTGTCTCAGGCACTTGAGAAGGGGCTTTTTGGCTCTGGCTCCCAGCATAGCAGCTTGGCCCACTTCTCCTAGCAAGTAATTGCATTCACAGCTTGCTTCCTCCTCTCTCTAATTCTTCTGGGAGCTTTTAAAAGCTCCTAGCAGGAGACTCCTTCTCTATCCAAGTGCCCTGCAGGTGGGCTAACTCAACAGGGACTCCTGTTCATTCTTAAAGGGACAGATTGCCGAATTACACCAGCCACACAGACTGTGCTGGGGGGCCGGATTTGCTCCCAAGGAGAGAAAACCAGGGAAGCCATAGTAATGCTGCAACGAATCCTTGTGTGAATGCGTGGAGGGCATTATAGGCTATTAGCAAACCCATTAATTCATAATACTGACCCACGCAATACTAAGCTACGGTTATGAAATATGATTATCAAATATCATGATGGTTCTGAAACAAGACTTTTACAGTCATTAAAGGCTGCAAAAATAACAATTAATGCCTGGGGGTTTTTAATTTCCTTTCAGTGCACAAAACATTAAATCAATTAAATGAAAATTACTTGGAAATCAAATAGAATATTTTCTGGAGAAATAAAGGAAAAGTAGAACTTCAAACTTAATGACTATTGAGAAATTCCTGCTAAACTTCATTATCAGAGACCTACTGCTTCAGAGGGCTCCTTTAACTTCTATTCAAAGCAATGCTTAATTTTGAGTGAACTTAGAGCATCTGCTTAAAGGAAAGCCATAGAGCAGGTCAAAATTTGGACTATTACGGTAGGGACAGACGTTACATGTAAACCAGTTTAAGTGA